ATCCAAAGACAACAGTCTTCTCATAGAAATTGTCCCTACGGATTTGGGAAAGGCTGGTTCCGTAACCCTGGTATGAAAAATGATGGCCAGCATGGCCAAGGGAGGTGCTGCCTGGAGGTAGTTTGGAAGGTGACTGCTTGGGAAGCTCTCTGTGCTGGGTGTATCACTTCTCACATGCTAGGAGGGCAAAGTGGACCACAGCTTAGCTGCAACCATGTTTATTAGATCAGCTGCAGTGCCATAAAAAATACATGAGTGTTTATCTGCCTGCTGGAGAGTGATGGGGGGAGAAAAGGAAATAACCCTACATTTATAGTATTTGCCCATTCTTGGTCTGAGACAAAAGTAATGACAATTGTGGTAAACTCTAAAGCCAAAAGAATAAATCCTCATTATTTACAGTCAAACTTTCATTATTTGAAAATTTGCTAAGGTGAGATAGGTCTCAGGTAAACTTTAAATTTTACAGTGCATTGTTTCTAATAGTCTTCATGTATTACACAGTTAGGAATAAATGTACATACCTTAGTTGTACCTAAATAATGTACACTTTGATTTGAAAAATATCAGCTGAACTGAAAAATACAGTTGCGATTTTTCTTTCTTTTTTTGCTGGGGAAGTGGGGGAAGAGTGGGCTCTTCCACATATTCTATGACCTCTACCAATCTCAAAGAAGAAATGGCATGCTCAAGAAAAGAATACTCTGTGCATATAAGTTAGCATTTAGCAAAATTTAACTTCCACCCTCCTGTATCAAGTATAGACTATAGGATTTGGTTTTTTTCATCAACTTCAGGAGATTTTCCAAATACAGTAATATCATCCTGATAATACTAGATTCTGAGCTTGTTATTATGACTTAGTAACATATTTGAAAAACTTGGGATGTTGATTCAGGTCCATATGGCATATGATTAAAAGAGAAAAGTTCCATTAACTGTAATAAATGCTGTGAAGCACAAACTGTCTGGAATGGCAATAGCCATTCTTTAAATCAAGAGTATAAAACACACTCTATAACTATGACACCAGTATCTGTAAATGGTTAACTGTCAATTGTCAATCCCAATGGCTTTGGCTTCCTCTAAGTCCAATACAAACCCATATTTTATGGTTTTCTTTTTGTCTCCACTGTGCTAACACTAATTTAGGAAATGCATTAGTATCATCTGGTATATTTTCTTAATTATCTTGTAACTCAGTATCTCTTGTTCAATTGTAGAGAATATATTTTCCATTGTAGAAGTGGCACATTAGATTGAATTGTCATGCTGTGAATAAATCATTCTGCACACATATGGCATTTTCATGTAACAGCTGATACTAGTTCTTTTGTAAGAACTGAAACTGTAATTTGTATTGAAACACTGTTTCAGTGTATTGAAGCAATGCATATTTACATATATATAAACACTTGCATAAGAAGCGGAGGTCACAGATTTCTGCTTAACAGGAGTATTACTGTACACAAGAATAAAAATTGGCAGTAGATGTCAAAAGTAACTTTTCTATGCAGGAAATAAGAATAATGTTCTTGAGGTGGCTTACTAGATAATGTCAAGCCTAAAATTATAGCAGTTCAGGTAAATGCATTCACTGGGTATGCATTACTGAAGCTAAAAAATCAGCCTCCAGTGTTATCTTGGTATCACTTGACCATTCTATAGATACAAGAAAATGTAACTGGACACAAATACATCCATAATAAGCAACTGATTCCATCCATGGTCAAACCAGTAACATCTGGTACTGTAGCATCACATAAATATTGCTTAGGTAAAAATTCATTATGTGTTTTAATGCGACATCTTTCTGCAGTATTTGCAGGCTATCCAATCTGGTTTACAATACTCTGTAAATATTTACACACACACACAGACATATATATATACACACTTATACATGTAATATATGCTGAGCTTTTAGCCATAGTTCCAATGGTTGCAGTTTGAAGGCAGTTCACCATTTCTCAAATCTATTGCCAATTCAGTTAGAGAAGCAACAGTTACGATCTCCTGTAGTGTCAGGTCCAACTCACGAAGTAAACAGTATTTACAATCAATAGCAAATGTCTTTTTTCATAAGATGAACTTGACCTTTTTCTGCTGTACTTCTAGACTTACACAAGACTTTGACTCTCTTAAAGCAGAACTGTACTGCTCTGTTGAGGTTTCTGTGTATGCTGGCAAACTTTACTGGATTCAGCTACAACACTTATTGCAGAAAAAAAAAATCTATTTCAGGAGTATAGATTCCTTTTTTTTTATCCCATCATGAAACATAGAGACTACCCCCCAGCTCTATGCCCTGGTGAGTACTCTCCAGTGGGTCCTCCAATACAGCAAACAGCATAACAGGTTTTCTTTCTCCAGCAAAGGCAGTGCCCCTAATTGTCACTATATGATTCCCAACCATTTTCATGTGAACAACAGAAGGAACTTCAAGGGCAGGTTGCATGGGGCATTGAGCAACCTGGTCTAGTGGGAGATGTCCCTGTCCATGGCAGAGTGGTTGGAGTTAGGTGATCTTTAAGGTCCCTTCCAATCTAAACTATTCCATGACTTAGGAGCACCTGGATTGTGTAAGAATTATGCAAATAAATTAAATGACAGCATGACACTGTCATTTAACCATTGTAATATAAATAAAAAGATTACTCCAGGGGTCCACAGAAATACCAAAAGGAAGTCAAATCCTGACTGCAGCAGACAATATTAGAAACCAAGCAAACCAACCAAAAAATCCACAGAGTCAGATTACCTTTAGGAGCTCACTGAACTTTTTTTCCCTACAGTGTCCTTTTCTGTCCAACACCACCATGGCAACATCAGAGGTCTCATAACAGAAGTTCACGTTATGTATGCAAAGCAGCTACCTATGAAGAGATGGGAACTAATGTAGAATATTTCTTTCTGTCTTCCAACAGCCAGTTATGATGGCAATGACTTATAAATGTTCCTACATTTTTTCTGTTTTGTTGTATTTTCAGTACTGAAAACAATGAAGGTATTTCAAAGGCAGTTGTAATGAAGTACTCAATTACTACAGACTTAGGCTTTTAGCATGGGCAATGAGATGTGAATAAAACCTGCATGATTTGGAATACAAAGTCATTAAAGGTGAGGAAACGCAAAAAAAAGGGTAAAAAAAATAAAAAAACCAAAAGAACCTGCAGTAGGACAGAGACATAAAAAGGTGGAAATGAAGTCAAAACCACAAAACATAGAGAAGTGTTCTTCTTCTATTTTCTTTCTAAATGTTACTGAGGTGACAAAGGCAGCATTAAGTAAATAACAAAGGAATATGTACCTGTTTCGACAACTGGCTGACTGTAAAAATTTTTGCACAACCTCACTGTCAAACCTGAAACATTGCAGCTGCAACATTTTTCTCAAGTACATTTCTGAGGCATACTCAAATCCTCTGCTTAATGTTATATAGACAGGAATCAAAACTAAATTTAGAAGCAGCTGCTTTAACAGAATTTTGTTTTGCTCATATTTTTAATATTTTTATATAAGTGGGAGTGAGTAATGAAATCTGGAAAGGTGCTACCTTCCATGCATCATTTCCCACTAAAATATAAGTATGAGGAGGAAGATCCAAAACACGAGACTGTGTGAGTGCTCGTTTAGAGTGTTTGGGGGATGCGATCTGGTTCTTCTGTTTCCTTGAGGGGTTGAAGGTTCTCAGGGGTGTCCTGGTCGCTTTCTTGATAAAACAGACTAAACACTGTGGTAGTTGGTTTGGCATAAATCTTACCCCCCCCCCCCCCCACCCCACCATTGTACTCTGCACA